AGCACAAACAAATTTACGTTCTCGTGGCGTAATTTGCATTCTACCTTTATGTTGGTTGTCCCCAGTAAGCAAGCAACCGTGGGCAGAATGCTCCCCAGCAAAATATCTCTCGTTGTATTGTTAGCTTTTGCGTATACATCGAGCCATTCCGCCACGCTTGGGGGAGCAATCTTATCCCATGGTAGGGGCATGTCCGTTGCAGATTTTCGTACTTGGGCGGCCAAGGAAGAAACATCAGAGACGCGTTTCTTCTTGGACGCTGGGGGATACGCTGTAGCCATGATTACAACTGAAAAGAAGAAATATTTTAATGAGACAAATTAATAACTCGAGTTCTATTGAGTTCGGCAATCGACAATCGAACGGCGAACTTTCTGTGAGTTCGATTTCCGAACCAATGGAACTAATCGAATACAATCGAACTCAATCCACCCGGATTTAATTCGATTGTTTTCGATTTTCGAACTCATTCGAATAAAATCCATGTGATGTTCGACTGCCGGTTCAGTTATTGAACGCAACAAATAAGGAGCTAGACTTCCATTACTAGCTTTGCCAAAAATCGAGAAAAAATCGAGACTGCGAGACTCACAGAACTGCTAAAAAAACGAGACAGCGAGACCCATTAAATTCAGCTAAAATTTTGCGAGACTCTTATTTTTGAAAGACCATTCTCCACCTATGTAGAGAAGTCACAATAGTCAAAATTTGGCGAGATTGAACCAAATAGCAAACAGTATCATCGGTTTGAGGTTTCCTCCGATTTGAAGGCAATTATGTGAATAACGAAAATTACTGATTGCAGGAGCAATGTCACGGTATTCTACTTTGACAAGCCAAAATCATATCTGTGTCAATGGAAACCTAAAAATAATTGTCCAGTTTTATTAACAATTCCGATACTAGTGCAATGAAACTATAAAGAAGTGTCTTTGGCTGCTTGAAAACTGATTGGCAAGTTTTTTCGAGATCTTCCCTAGTGTTGAAAAATAGTATAAAAACGGCTAAATATGGCTTTTTCTCCCTTCGCGGAATCACTTGATATTTCCCCCTCGGTATTCCAGGAGCATTTTGTGTGGGAGAAAAGTTACTTTTAGTCTAATATTGGAGACCGCGTGAGATCCGAAAAATGTGGCACATGCTTCGAAAATTCCCTACCGTCATATTCAGTTCAGAGATACCCTATGGAAAGTCAGTTAATGTGGTAGAATTTTTGTGTGCAAATCTATTTTTGATTTCAAGAAAATTCTAAAAACCTGTAACGGACCCCCATCGCCATGAAATGGTTGAAATGAAAGCGATGAATGTGAGTACAAGAACTGATCTCGTTAAAAGCGCACAGGGCAGCAAGGTTTTCCCAAATTTGAGCAATTGTCTAGGAGGCATTTACAAATGATTTGAGCTAATAACAGGTTTGGTACTTATTTTGGAGCAGTTTTTCAAGTAATATTTTTCCTTTGCGGTATAACTCAGAATCACTTTAAATTGCGGTTTTGGAAACGTGGATATAGTGCTCTTTTCAAGGAAACTAAAGAACGTTTGGGCCTCTTAACTACTGCAAAGAAAAAGCCCGTGTCATTTCGAGAAATACGATGGTTCCAGAAAGTGCCTTCGGCAACATTTAGTGATTGCGTGATTTGATAAATCCTGCTCGAGCGAAGATGGCCATTTGAAACGAAAATAGGCATAAAACCAACCTTCAACCACTGGCTATGCAAGGTAATCTCGTTACACTATGTCGCTGGTCTAGTATGGTGTAAAGCAATAACTTTTCGTCGGAATTTTGGCTTCAACAACAGCAAGCGTAATTCGATTATTTGCGGTTGTTGACAAGTCGATGTTGTGATTTCCTCGAAATGACACGAGCTTTTTCTTTGCAGTAGTTAAGAGGCCCAAACGTTTTTTAGTTTCCTTAAAAAGAGCACTATATCCACGTTTCCAAAACCGCAATTGAAAGCGATTCTGAATTATACCGCGTAGGGAAAATATTTCTTGAAAAACTGCTCCAAAATGCAATTTTTAAATAATGAAATATGAGCGATTTTCAAACACTCACCGTTAATTCAGAAATGTAACTACAAAACCTGTTCTTAGCTGAAATCATTTGTTAATGCATGCCTCCTATACAATTGTTCAAATTTTGGAAAGCCTTGCTTCCCTGTGCGCTTTTAACGAGAACCTGTATTGTGCTCATATTCGGCGCTTTTATTTCGGCTATTTCATGGCGATGGGGGGCCGTTAGAGTTTTTGAGATTTTCTAGAAATGAAAAATAGATTTGAGCAAAAAAATGCCACCACGATTATTGACTCACCATGGGCTATCTTTGAGCTGAACATGAGGTTAGGGACATTTTCCATCATGTGCCACCTCTTACGCGGTCCGGGAAAAAAGGCTCTCTTAATAGTTTTGGGCAAAAAACAGCAAAATCACCGTGACATTGCTCCTTTAAATATATCTTGTTTTAACATTGATCAATATCAAGAAGGTCTTACCTTATGGTCTAGTCTCTTTGTTTCAGAATGTTAGACAACACTGAAGTTGCTTGTAAACGACTGATGATGAGCGAACGATGCAAGCTTGGACTGCTCAAAGTGAGACGAATATTGCGGCTGCAACTTTTTTTAATGACTTCACGGCATTGTTTATTGTTCATTGTTCGTTTAAGAAGGTGTGCCAGACACCGTGATATCAAATCACCTTCCAATGGAAATTCAACATTTATATACTTTCATTATACTGATTCAGTCGCTCTGCAGAAAAAAATTCCTTGAGTTGTAGTCCTTGCTGTTTTAGCGGCGATCAAGGTATAAATCGAACATTCTTCATTTGCCGCAAATGGGTGACTAGAGTGGCTATCGGTCAACCCGGGGGGTAGACTGTGTTATCGGACAATGCTGGCATTGTAGTCGTGTCTCATGTTTACAATTTCTCACCGTCTCACTAAATAAATGTGTGGGAGAGAAAACATGTTTCCGGACAGGCGGTATGTTATTCCTTGAGATCCCTGAGGCTCGCAGCTTAAACCAAAACTCTGACCAAAACTATCGCGTCTATCTTTTTGGCGAGGGTCGAGGTTAAACGTTTTCGCATACAAATTACCAATAACCGAAAAAAAGGGTTTTTTTGTAACATCGAGGAGAGTGGAATGTAAAGGCCCAGGTGTGAGGATAATTGTATTTTCTAGTAAATCCCATTACATGTCCTGCAACCTTTGAATTCGGGATAATATTTCTCAGTGTGATCTGTGACCGGATCAGGTTATAGGGTTAACTATACGTGAGTTCACATGCAGCAATGGGAAAAATACAGTAAGAACGAGAGCGCATTTGTCGCTTCTGCAAAACATAATGTTGTCTTCGCCTGACTGTTAAAGAGTGTTAGTACAGTTTCAGTTTTTAAAGTGTACGCGTCCCTGTGATTTTGACCTCTCTCACGACCGTTGGGGGCCTTGGGCCCGAGGTCAAAATTACTCTCTACGTAGGGTGGTAGAGGCGATTTATGTTCAGTCCTTACCCCATCCCCACTAAAGCGTATCAAATAGCTCCTTTGTTTCGATAAACCAATAAAGGTGCAAGGTAAAAAAAATGTTTCTCGATTATCACACCTTTTAAGTTTCTTCATTTAGACAATACATACATGCTAATTGACGTTTCAAGTTTCAGTTAGCAACGAGGCAAGTGATACATTTTAAACTAAGTTCTCTTGCGGATCGACAAATAGTCGCGTGATAGGTCAAGATAAGTGCTGTTTCGAGCTGTTACACTAATCGTCTATCGGATCTTAAGAGTTACTTCATAGCGGTAAGTTATCAAACTGTTAGTATTTCATGGTTGCCACACATTTATTTTCTCCTAAACTTTACTTTTGAGTTCTCTTCTTTATAATTATTGTTTACTTCTTTTCAGAACGTTTCAGCAGTATCGGAAGAACCGTAAAATTACAGTAACCCATGCCAGAAGTAAAGCAAACAGAATAAGGTATAGTCTGCGAATACACTGAGTCGCCTCTTTGATTTTTATTCTTTAACTTTAAAGTACAGTATATTTCTCGTAGTTACGCTCTCTTTTCGACTTAAAGATTCCAACATGAAACTTTGAAAACAAACGAGATGAGCTCATTTTATTCCAAACGTTGTTATTTATCATGTTTTCGCAGTATGGTTTTACGGATTTTGGGGAAATGTTTGGCCGCGCACTTTAATAAGTTTGTTTTAAAATAATGAAGTAACTTGACAAAGATATTTTGAAACGATTAGTTTAGAAAGAAACTGTTCTGCCGCTTGGGTGGGCAACTATTCGCGATTTCCCCACTATCTGAACGCCTGGAACAGGCTATTGTTAACTTGATACATATATACACATGCGATTTGCATCGCGGCGATTCGATGCAATTTTTGTCGCGCTCAAGTCGCATCCTCAAATCGTGATGCAAATTTGCGGCGATTTTTCATAAAAAGTAACAAAAATTACGTATCAGGGGGGACCCACGGGGAGGTTTGGTTTACGCCCGGGTTACAAACAGGGATAATTACTCGGTAAAAAAACGTTCAAAAGTATCCAAAACCTGGACTTACAATAATACGATTTAATATAATGTGATTTATAAGAAATGTTATAAAGAATTTCAAGCCACAGTAAGGTAAAAAGTGTGATTGAATGCCAAAAACGTAAGCTTATTGTGTTTACAACCTCTTAAATAACGACAATAATAGTATTTCTTCGTTACAGGCAGGATGGATGTTCTTTTAAGAAAATCACACTGCATTCTACTTCTATGCATGGTGGTGATATTCTTATCAAGGGTAACTAATGGTAATCCGTTATCCCCCAACCTGGTAAAAGCCATAGCAAAAATGATAGAGCGATACGAGAAAGGAGAGCTAACAACAGCAACCGTCATTCATTACCATCATGAAATTGGGGACCAAGCCATTAGAGAAACCCTGTTTCTTCCTGGGGTCATTATCTGGGATCCGTTATTTCAGCATTTTCGTGGAAACTTACCTTGTCCAGAGTGTGGTGAAGATCTGAAACCTAGATGCTGGAAAGATGGAAAGGATTGGAAACACAACAGTCCTAGGCAGCTTGCAGATATAGAATGCCCTGTTCTGCTGGTAAGTAGGGTATATGCATGCAAAAATGATCATCGGACAATCGGTCATGACCCTAAAATTCTGAAAAAGTTTGGACAGGTAGAACTGATCCCTTTCCTTCTTTTGCACAAAAATGGGATTACTCGACGTTTATACAGATTAATAATCGTTCATGCTGCGTCAGGAATGAGGTACATGGACGTGGAAGCACTTTTAGCACAGATGTGGCATAGTTATCACGCCGAGGCAAGCATTAGGACCTTAACACTGTTACGTATGAGAATTTCAGAGGATAGACCATCAATCAACGTGAGTCACACGACAATGCCGCAGATTTCACAGTTAAACCCTAACAGAAAACTGATTCGCCAATGCTTTGTTCATGACTATTGCACGAAAGAAAAACTTTACAATGCACGCATGTCATCGTTCACAGGTGGTTGGCTCTCTTCTGACCACACATTCAAGGTCGCTGGGAATGTCGGATTATGGCAAAATGGCCATTGGATTCGCCAGTTCGACTCTTTGTTTTCTGTCATGAATGAGGATGGAATTGTCATCGCGTGGCAATTAACGAGAGGCACTGGTTTTGCCAGGGTGAAGACCCTACTCATGGGAATTCGGAACAGGCTACAAAATAGCGGAGTTACCTTGCAGGGATTTTCCATTGACAACTGCTGCGCCTGGAGATTACTCCTTCAAGCAGTATTTGGAGTTATTCCAATTAAACTTGATCTCTTTCATGCAGTGCAACGCATCGCTAGTAAAATTAAAAAAAAACACCCATTAAGAAGACAATGCCTTGATGCATTTCGTTTAGTCTTTCGGAAGTCGGGCGATATCGAAAAAGAACGTAAGAAGCCAACGCCTTCTCGCGAAGTGATGTTGACAAATTTAAATAGGTTTCTGGAAAATTGGGAAAATGTTGAACTTGCAGGGGAAAAGGTACTTTCACAGCATGTCCACAACCAATTGGACAAGTTAAGAAAACATATTAAGAAAGGTTGCTTGGAAGATATTCCTCCTAAAGCAGGAACAAGCAGACAGGAAGCAATGCACAAAAGCCTCCGAAAAAGCGTAGAAAAAAGGAGAGTTGGCGTTAAAGTAGCTGTGGCAAGCATAGGAACGTGCCTATACAGATGGAACGAAAGACGGTTGTCGGACAAGGTTGGATCGTGCCATTCACAAGTTCCGGTCCCAGTCACCCACTACCAGGACTTGTCAGTCAGTCAGTCAGGAAGAAGTATTTGGTACTGGAATGATTCAAAATGGAAGCGGTTTTAGCGATGATGACTCGGAAGATGGCACTGACGTCGATGCCTGTGAAAATGAGTCAACGGGTAGCAGTAGTGAGGACGGGGACTATGGGATTGATGACAACGATAATGTGAGGATCAGCGAGGAAGACGCGTATCATCGAGTTTTAGAGTATGCCCTGTACATGAAGAGCCTGGCTCACGATTTGCAAGCGAAATGCGATGCACCCACGATGAAAGTTAATCTGACACAGTTCGTAGGACGCAGCCTTCTATTATTCTCATCGCATGCAAGTTCCTCCAGACCAGACGCAGGAAAATGCAGGGAGAGGTTAACCAGCATTTTAAATGCATTTGGCTTTGAACAGTTGTCGATGCCAGGGGATGGAGACTGTTTTCTACATTGCATCTCTTTCAGTTTGAGCTCTCTTCTTACTAGAGATAACTCCAACTTAGCCACTTACTTGAAATCAATCGGTATCAGCATAGAGATACCTGACAAGGACAAAATCAACGTTCTTAGGCGGTTGATTGTGCAAGAATTTATGGGGCCTAATCGGCATGTTTACGAGCCATTTCTGATAACAAGCACCACTGATTCATATGACGCAGAAGCTCAAAAGTTCCTTGAGTCGGGCCATTATGATTCTGAATTAGGAAACTGTGTTCCACTGGCGATGAGCAATATCCTTCAAGTACCCCTGGTTATTTTTACCTCCATGGAAAATTATCCCATCACTCACGTAATTCCCAGAACACGAGTGCTATCTGAAGTTCCGATATACCTTGCTTTTAGTCATAGTGATAGCGGCCACTACGACTTGGCAGTTGAAGGCAATCGCACAGAGTCGAATTCAACTGTAACTGAAACAACCGGCAAGGAGCCAGACACACAAATGCCAGTTGAGGTAGATCTCCCCACTCAAAATCAAACGGGATGTTCGTGTGGTCGCGGAGCCGCCAGGAAGACAGCGAAAAGTGAATTCTGCAAACACTATAAATCACGCTGTCCGTGTTTTCGTGCCTTGCGAAGCTGCAATGTTAACTGTTCCTGTCGTTCGTGCGTGAATCCGTTTGGTCGCAAAGCTAATGAAAAAGGCATCTTTGATCCGCCACCACGAAAGCGACAAAAACAAGACCTTCAACAAGACGTCAAGCAAACAGACAAAGGCTATATGGAAACGAAAGCGGAAGAGCCCATTGCTACAACTTGGTTGGAAGACGAACTGTACGTCATTGAAGCACTGATCTTGTACTTGTTAGTTACAAGCCAAGATATCACTCCGAACAGAATCTTTGCAGACTATCACAAGATAGTAGAATTCTTCTCTGCCGAAGATATAAGTTTTCAACGTGTATTTTCTCTACGTCGTAAATCCGCGTCAGTAATAACCAAGAAACTACAAGACATAAAGAACAAATTAAAAGTTGACGAGGAATTCTTCAAAAAGCAAATCCAGTACAACTGGTTTTTTGACTAAATCGTATTTGCGCTAAGAGATAACAGAATGATGTATTTTACTTGACAGGCAATCTCGTACTCAAGGCCTCATTCCCATTGGTCATTGAAATAAGTTTTTTCTGAGTTTTTCAGCCATTGCTGGATTTCACGGCGCACCAATTCCTGCTGCACGGAAGCAGTTTAAAAAATGAGAGCCAATCAAATGTGGACAAACTTGTTTGGTATTCTGGCTGATTCCTGATTAAAGAAAACATGGAATAGACGGTGATGGTGTTACGTTGGGACCTATTCCGTTCAGTTCTCGGATTTAAAAGAATACTGTTTACCCGAAATAAGGAAAATAGTGTCAAAATTTTATATTATTTTTTATTAAAATAGTCATAAATTCTTGTTTTCTTGGTGTAGAAAAAGAAAAAGAAAAGCGACTCTTGGAACGAAATCATTACTTTAGACTGTACTGTATTACTACGAGAAGATATTTTGCTAAAAACGCGACTTAGTTATAATTGTTAATGTTTTAATGTTGGCGATGCCGGGTGTTTATTTTATTCAGGATTGGATAGCGTGAGATTACAAACATGCTTATATAAAGAGTAAAAATGCACTGCGTGTTAAGACTAATTCATAGAGTACATTCTGAAAAGAGAATCGAACTATTCTGAAATTTATCTGGATAATCAATAATACAAGAGAAATGTCAAAATTTCACACTCATATTTGAAATGAATGCTTTTGAAATTGATTACTTTATCTAATAATGTCCAAGGATAATTATACTTGCATATTTTTGAAGCCAAATAAATTAAAGTTTATTGTGCTTCAATCCTTCAAACATTTTCGCTTAAAGCCGCGCGCGCTGTTTGTGAAAGTTACATAATGGCCTTTTTATGGCTTTTAGTCTTTTCACGAAGCCGATAGAAATCGTAATGTTTCTTGCTTTTACTTTTAACTGAGGTAATATTTTAGCTTTTCGTCATGAACAAAAAGTTAAATTCTAAAATCAACTTTTGCAAACATGTCACAAAACCAAGCGAAGGCCGCAACCACCTTATTTTCAATCTTGTCACGAAAAGCTTATCGCGGTCAAAATATTTTGTACGTGGGATATTGACGTTTTAGTGTGTTTCGGCTGTTAAGACAGCAAAACGTTCTTACACCCAACGAAGCGAATCTTGATTGAACACTGGGGATTTCCCAAATTTTAATTGGGGCATATAGGACTCTATAGTGCGACGTATTTTGACCATTCGAACGCAAGCGAAAATATTTGAGGGATTATAAAGAGGAATAACGCCGTATTAAAATGATAGTAATAAGTTTTTAAATAATAAGTTTATTTAATGCATCTTAAGAATAAAAATACAAAAATATTCCGCTCGTTAAAGTTGTACACTTTAAATCGCGTTTGTTAGCCGCATTTCCTACTTTTCCTACTGTACCTCTATTACTTCTATTCCTCTGTTCCTCTGTTCTTACTGTTCCTACTTAATTCCTACTGTTCCTCTGTTCCTACTGTTCCTCTGATCCTACTGTTCCTCTGTTCCTACTGTTCCTCTGTTCCTCTGTTCCTACTGTTCCTACTGTTCCTACTGTTCCTCTCTTCCTACTTAATTCCTACTGTTCCTACTGTTCCTCCGTTCCTACTGTTCCTACTGTTCCTACTGTTCCTACTGTTCCTACTGTTCCTCCGTTCCTACTGTTCCTCTGTTCCTACTGTTCTTACTGTTCCTCTGTTCCTACTGTTCCTACTGTTCCTCTGTTCCTACTGTTCCTACTGTTCCTACTGTTCCTACTGTTCCTCTGTTCCTCTGTTCCTACTGTTCCTCTGTTCCTCTGTTCCTCTGTTCCTACTGTTCCTCTGTTCCTACTGTTCCTCCTTTCCTACTGTTCCTACTGTTCCTCTGTTCCTACTGTTCCTACTGTTCCTCTGTTCCTACTGTTCCTACTGTTCCTACTGTTCCTACTGTTCCTCTGTTCCTCTGTTCCTACTGTTCCTCTGTTCCTCTGTTCCTCTGTTCCTACTGTTCCTCTGTTCCTACTGTTCCTCCGTTCCTACTGTTCCTACTGTTCCTCTGTTCCTACTGTTCCTACTGTTCCTACTGTTCCTACTGTTCCTCTCTTCCTACTTAATTCCTACTGTTCCTACTGTTCCTCCGTTCCTACTGTTCCTACTGTTCCTACTGTTCCTACTGTTCCTACTGTTCCTCCGTTCCTACTGTTCCTCTGTTCCTACTGTTCTTACTGTTCCTCTGTTCCTACTGTTCCTACTGTTCCTCTGTTCCTACTGTTCCTACTGTTCCTACTGTTCCTACTGTTCCTCTGTTCCTCTGTTCCTACTGTTCCTCTGTTCCTCTGTTCCTCTGTTCCTACTGTTCCTCTGTTCCTACTGTTCCTCCGTTCCTACTGTTCCTACTGTTCCCACTGTTCCTCTGTTCCTACTGTTCCTACTGTTCCTCTGTTCTTACTGTTCCTCCGTTCCTACTGTTCCTACTGTTCCTCCGTTCCTACTGTTCCTACTGTTCCTACTATTCCTCTGTTCCTACTTAATTCCTACTGTTACTCTGATCCTACTGTTCGTCTGATCCTACTGTTCCTACTGTTCCTCTGTTCCTACTGTTCCTACTGTTCCTACTGTTCCTCTGTTCCTACTGTTCCTACTGTTCCTCTGTTCTTACTGTTCCTCCGTTCCTACTGTTCCTACTGTTCCTCCGTTCCTACTGTTCCTACTGTTCCTACTATTCCTCTGTTCCTACTTAATTCCTACTGTTCCTCCGTTCCTTCTGTTCCTACTGTTCCTCTGTTCCTACTGTTCCTACTGTTCCTACTGTTCCTACTGTTCCTACTGTTCCTCTCTTCCTACTTAATTCCTACTGTTCCTACTGTTCCTCCGTTCCTACTGTTCCTACTGTTCCTACTGTTCCTACTGTTCCTACTGTTCCTCCGTTCCTACTGTTCCTCTGTTCCTACTGTTCTTACTGTTCCTCTGTTCCTACTGTTCCTACTGTTCCTACTGTTCCTCCGTTCCTACTGTTCCTCTGTTCCTACTGTTCTTACTGTTCCTCTGTTCCTACTGTTCCTACTGTTCCTCTGTTCCTACTGTTCCTACTGTTCCTACTGTTCCTACTGTTCCTCTGTTCCTCTGTTCCTACTGTTCCTCTGTTCCTCTGTTCCTCTGTTCCTACTGTTCCTCTGTTCCTACTGTTCCTCCGTTCCTACTGTTCCTACTGTTCCTCTGTTCCTACTGTTCCTACTGTTCCTACTGTTCCTTTTGCTACTAGCCATTTGCTATTACGTTATTAATGACGTCAGTCAGGTCGTACGTTATTAATGACGTCAGTCAGGTCGTCGTACACGAGCCATGAGCCCTAAAAAAGCATAATAAAATTGCAGTCATACATGTGACTCTCTTTATGCAGGAAAAAAATCAGTAGGATTAGAATTACAGGTATTAAATTAAAAGATAAGTTTGATTATACAGTTAATCCCTGTGCATTTTGAAACCAGCAATCTACTTCCAAGATTGGTGTGTGTTGTTGTGTGGATGTTATGACTTTGTCAGTTTCTTGCCTAGTCCCTGTTTTATTCAGTGGTGAATAAAATGCCTCCATAGCAGGCATTTAAAAGGAAAGGGAGAGGCGTTTTGGGCACAAGAGAAATGCGAAGAGTGCACGAGGAAGGAGGGAGTGATTTCAACATTCACCTGGTTGATGTTTATAATGCAAAAAACAATTAGTCTCCTGTATGACAGGCATTTCCCTCCCTCCTTCCCTCACATTTCTCTTGCACTAAGACCCACTTTCCCTTTTCTTTGAAATGCCTGCCACACAGGCTAAGTGATGTCATTCAATCTGTTTACCCGTGTACACTGTTTAATATATATCAAACAATTTGCATATTTTGGTGGCTTTAGTTAAAATATAAATTACTTGATCATTGAATGTGCTTTTGATATTGGAAAACCAAGGCTGAAAAAATGGTGACAGGGAAAGGAAATAGAAAAAGTGGAACAATGGGGCAGTAAAATCATGAGACTAAGAACCTGAATTAACTAAGTAAGCCTAAACAGATTCTTATATAAATAGTAGTTAGCACAAGTTTAGGGTATGGTTTTTAAATGGGTTCATATTTTCTGAAGTAAAAATGTAGCTAAGAGTATTTGTGTTTCACCTTATTCCTCAGATAAAGTCTGCATACCAAATTAGAAGTTATGTGAGAATGGACATAAAAAGAGGAATGTATTTCAATTTAAACATTGGCTTTTACATTGCAGTACGTTGGAGTGATAAGACAGCTTTGTCTCCAAAGAAGATTTTAAATGTTGATTTATCTCTGCTCAAGTGTACAGAATTTTTTCGTAGATTCCAAAAATAAGAACCTGTTTCAAATTTTAAGCTAAACAGGTTTTTTCTAGAGGGGGATCATCTGGCATAATTTTATTTTAGCTGAACAGGTTCTTGAAATTCAGGTTCTAAGTCAGGGGGTTTTACTGTACCACTACGATCCACCTCTGCAGTAACTGGTAACCCAAAAGCCCTCTTTACGGACAACCGCTTCATACAGACACCTGATCAAGGCTGTGCTCTAGCAGAGCCCTGTGGCCCCTGGCACCTAACTTTTGCTTTTGGGTGACTAGAAAATCTCAGACTTTTCATACAAATCATATGCTGGGCAGCCTCGATTTTACAGGTTCAGAGAACTAGGCTCCTTTCAATGTTCCTTAGAGCACAGCCTTGCTCATCATTACAGATAGCTTGCTTTGTTCCCTGGAAAAAAGCCCTTAAATTTTCTCTAAATTAAGATGGTTAATTTCTACGGTCCCCTCAGTGTCTGTATAACAGAGTTGACTGTGAGTATGATGAGACCTATGACACCATATTTAAATTATAAAATTGGGGTGAGGAGAAAGGAAAGGGGTCTCAAGCTATGTTGCCCCAGCCCTGATTACAGGAGATTTGTAAACATGTATGAATTTCACATTTTGAAGAGTTTTTATAATCCTAAAAAATATGTGATAACATG